CCGCCGGCCGCTCCCGCCCGCGCCTCTCCCAGCTGCGCCAGAGGGGGCGCGGTCTGGAACGCTCCTCTGACATTCGGCCGCCGCCCGCAGCCGGGCTTTGCTGTAGCTCTCGCGAGATGCGCTGTAATCTCGGTGAGGATCGGGAGAGGGCCCTGGCTGGAGCCTTCCTAACCCCGTGGGGCTTCGAACCTCTGTCCTGCAAGCTCAGCGCGGATTCTCTCCCCTTGGCTCTAGGCGGTCTGGAGGGGTCAGTTAGCCAGTATGCGTGCCTCAGCACCGAGACCCCCCCTGGAAAAGGCGGAGGGACCGGTGAGGGGCTGGGGCATCGTTACTTGGCAGTTCATAGTCAGGTGACTATTAATAATTGCTCAACTGTATAGTGGGAGTACCTGGTACCTGTCAAATGCAACTCTTTTGCCCATTTTCATAACTTGGTGATGTCGACATGAACCACTTTGCTCGAAATGGATTTGGGTTTTGAACTAATTCCTGCCAAGAGATAGTCACAATGAGTCACTGACTCCAGGAAACTTGGGAAAATAAATTGCTTCCCACAAGCGGACGGGGTGAGGCTCCGGTTGGCCAGGTCTGCTCTCAGTCTTAAGACATAAGGACTTCAACAATATATATGGCAATATATAGAAAAGGCAAAATATAGAAAAGAGATCATGCTAAGAATTAACCATTACTTGAGGAAATGCTTAATATTCACTGCAAATTTAAATGATCATGAGATATCATTTACCTATTGAGTTTTAAATATAAATTCATATTATATGTGTATATCCCAATTGCATGAGATTAATGAAGGAAAACAAATAGGAAGCTGAAAAAGGAAAGAAATAAGACACCTATTTTAGGTCCTGTGGCTAGAAAGGCTTAAGGAGAAATTTAAACAAACCTGCTGGTTGAGAAGGAGCTGGCCTTGCAAATTATATATTGGAATGAGTTGGAGAGTGCCCAACAAAGGCCATGACACCAGCAAAAAAAGAAAAAAGAAAAAGCAGGAAACAACTTCTGGTAAACTGAGAGATCAGTAGGGATGGAATGTAGTCAGGAGTTGAGCGTGCTGGTTGGAGAGGTAGAGGGAGGAGTTTTTGTTTTGTTTTTTGGGTTTGTTTTGTTTATATTTTGAGTGGGAGAGGAAACCGGGCTGCCTTATAAACCATAGTAAAACTTGGATTTTATTATACTCTGCTGAAC